AGGGAAAATAAGCTAACAAAACCTGAAGAGGCACCAAGCTGCTCCCTCCTGGCTGTCCCAACAGGGTGCCAGCAGATCTGGCAGTTCCTGTAAATACAGCCTAACGGATAGCACAGCCCTAGGGGCAGGAAGAGACCATCACAGGGCTCTCATGGGAAGGTCAGAAAGGAGCTGCATTGCTGGGGCCTCCCACCCACTCCTCACTGTGCCTTGTCACGCCTGCAGCCACACCGAGGGCAGGGGACTAAGAAGGAAGGGCACAGGAGGCCCCCAGCAGGGGTGAGCACCAGCAGACATCAGTGCCATGGGGCTCCTGGCAATGGGGTGTCCACACACAGCACGTGGCTGAACTGGGGGGGTGTAGGTGAGGTGAGCAGACCTCCCCAGAGTCACACCCGCTCAGCAGGTGTGAGTGCAGGAAGTTTCAGCATAGGGATGGCTGGCAGGGCTGGTGCCTAGATCACACAAATTTGATTAGTGTTCATCAAATATATTATTTGACCATGCTCCCTTATTAATGCTTGACTCACGAAGAATATTTTTAGGCTGTCTAGGGAGATGTCAGACTTGGTGCTGCTGCATTATTTTTTTTTTACTTCAGTGTTAATTAGCCCTTGCATCTTGGTCACCTCTGCAGTGAAGGCACCTGTGTTTCCCCTCTGCCCCGCTGTGGTCCCACACGCTCTGCTCTACACAGCACCCTCCCATCTCACCTTCCTCCATCGCCAGGACAGTGATGTTGTGCCACCCTGCTGTCTCCCGGTCCAGGACCTTTCCTGTCACAATGGCCCCTGTGTTGGCATCGATGTCAAAGATCCTCTCGGCGTCGGTGCTGCGGTCGATGGCGTACCTGAGACCCAGCAAAAGGGGAAACTGAACAGCTGGATGTGCCAAGCCCAGCCCCACCATCAGCCCAGGGATCTAACACAACAGGCTCTGTTATCACCACCCTCACCCTCCCTCTGCTGCAGCACAGCTCTGCCAGGCTGCAGGCCCAGAGCCCTCAAGTAAAATAAAGTGCATGAAGTAGGACTAAGCACAGACTGTTACAAGGAGGAAAACCTGCTCCAGTGAGAACCTTATGCTCAAGATAGACACAAAGATACAGAAATCATGGGCTGTACTCCCCTCATGAGTCTGGAAAGGTTCTGAGCTATAGGTTCAGGAACTACACCAACCCAAACCAAAGGAGGACACCACCGTTTGAGGAGCCCACCTCTCCTACCACCTCTGCCCGTGATCCTGCCACAGCACCCAGCCAAGTGACAGCCCTCCAGGACAGTACAGCAGCACACAGGCAGACTGTGAGCTGGACCTGCAGATAACCCAAACTGCAGCTATAGCAGTTACAAACAGCACAGTCTCCTCTGAGTCCAGCCTGAACCTGTGCACCTGGGGTGAGAACCCTGGCAGCAGAGAGGTGGGCAATGGCCAGCATGCCCACAATCAACACAGCACATCATCCCCAGCAGACCTGAGACCTGCCCTAATCTTCTCAGTTTCACAGGAGCAGGCTGAAGAGCTCTGGCTGCTCAACAGAGACACTTCAGACAGCTCTCACAGCTCTAGTGCTGCCCCAAACAGCCCCCTTTCCCTGGGCACAACAGCCCACCCACTGCCCATGCCACCTTGGGAGAGCACGACTCCCACCCCTGCCCAAAGGACACCACCACAGCTCAGGAGACCCAGGTTTAGCCCTGCACCTTAGCTGTGTCACCACGAGCTCACACAGTCAGTCCCAGTGGCATGTCCTGCATTTCCAGCCATTACACAGGGAACAAACCAAGCTCACATTAAGTCGGGCACAATTAGACAAGTGCTCCCTGGAGGCAGAGGCTGGAAGGGAAGCCTCATCTAGCTGAGGCCCTTGAGCACAGCCAAAACACAAACAACAAACACCACCACTGCAATCAGAAATCCAGGAGGCCTACAAATCACAAACAATACAGCATAATGTTATTGTGTACAGCATCTTTCATACACACTGCATCTCTGAGTGCTCTACAGAATTTAATAATACAAGACAGCAAAGAGTACAAAGGATAAATTACCAAAAGGAGGGCTGTGAATAAATTAAAGGCTTCAGTTACATGTCCAGCAACATAAGGAAGATAGATGCAGGGACAAAGCTCGCTGAAAAACTGATGAGACAGGACAGTACTGAGAGGCCACATCAGACCAGAGGAGCAGAGCAGGATCAGGTCCAGGCTAGAAGCACACTCTGAATGGTGGAGGTGCTCCACACACTGTGGGCAGCTCTCCCCAGCTGCCTGTATCTCACCTGGCATGGTGCAGCAGTGGTCTAAGGGTCCATCATCCACACGGGTCACAGCCAGGAAACCTCGGTGTGCAAGGATGACCATTATGCACAGAGGCATCGATGGCCTCTGCACCTTTCTGTCCCATGCCATGGGGGTGCCCCCTGAGGGGAGCCTACCCACACAGCTGGGCAGCTCTGCCTCTGGTGGAGGCATGCACAGAGACATACAGCATCTAAACAGAGTTAAGACAGTACCAGTTTATGTCCCCTAGCTCTCTCCCTTTCAGATAGGGCTTGAGAGAAAAAATACAACAGCACTTGCCTGTAGTTAAGGAAAAATGTTCAAACTAACTTTATAAACTGCATCTGTGCACATGCACAATCTAGCATGTTCTGCACCTACGTGGCCCCCCCGTCCCCTCCTTGCACTGAGAGGTGATGGGGATCTGCCACAGAAAGCCAGGTACAAGCCCAGGCATCTCTGCCCCAACTGCCAGCTGGAAACAGCCTCTGCAGGCTTGCAGCCAGCTCCAGAGGGACAGTCACACTGTCTTGGCACGTACTGCAGCCTCACACCCACTCTGCGCTCAATCACTGCAAAGGGAGAGGAGAGGTTTGGCCACTCTGTACACATCAGTCCAATGTACTGCTGGAAGGAGGAACAGAAATCAGAGTGACAACACCCAGTATCTTTCCAATAGCATAGTTGATGCATTTGCACAACTGCTTGCATTGTTCTCCCACATCACCTGACCTCAAACACATCCTGTTCTTCCATTCCACTTTGAATACAGTCAAAGTTCAAGATGGTACTTCACTCTCCACATGCCTCCCCTGCTCCTCGGGTAAGCACATGCCCTGTTCTGCTCCTGTTCATGTCATTGGTGCATAAACAAAGACATCTGCAAAAACAGCTATGCAGAAAAACCCAGCTAGTGACGGGGACATCACTGAGCCTGGAAACATCTGATACCTGCTGCCTTCAGGGCCAGAGGGCATGAGGCTGGTTGGGCAGCACTCTGCTTCATGCCATTGGTAACCTCTGCTTATGCTTCTAATTGTTTTGCCACTAAGGTTGTATACTGTAATTTCCAAATTGCTGGGGACTGACTGTCCATACCCTATGGCAGGACAAAAACCAAACCAGGAATCCGATCCCTTTGTCACCACTGAATTACAGAGACCTGCCACCTTCTCAACACTGTACTAGGGGAAGGAGACAGAGCTCTGAGTGTTGCCTGCATTTGCACAAAAGCAGGGCTGAGCCTGCTTCTGCAGCCTGTGGTTTTGGAGATGGCAAGTCCAGGCGAGCCTGTAGCTCTCCAGCTGCACAAAGTGCGGAGGAGGCTCTGGAGCACTAGGCTGGCATGGCATTGGGAACTGAGGGGTACAGGGATGTCCACCCACCCCCCGAAAACCACAGCCATAACCAGCTCAGAGCTGTGGAGCAACCCATTTCACACAGCCCCAGAGCTCTCTGCCCAGGGCTTGTGGCTCTCCCTGTGCTGAAGCAGCTGGAACAGGCAGCATCCCCTGGGCTCAGCTGGCACCACTTCGTGCAATTCAATCTTTACCAACCAAGTACTCTGCTGAAAATCAAAAGCCTCTCCACCTCTAGTAGCCCAGCTTTGCATTCACCCCTCTCCCTGAAGTCAGATGGGTCTTCTCTCCTGGAAAGCGGCAGCAATTAATCCCTGGGTCATTCAGGTACACAGAGATAGGACACATGCTTGTTCCTTCTAAAGCTGGCTGGTGCTCCATGTCTGGAACTGCAGTTCCCAGCTCTGATTGGGATGCGGACCTTGTAATCCATTTTCCTCTCTTACTGCAGGCACTGCCTGTTGGTTTGGATGTTACAAGTGACTTTAATTTAGACAGCTTTCTTGGAGCTCATCTTTCTTGTGAACGCATTTCTCAACCAGTTTGCTTCACTTCTCCCCCTGAATGCAGCAAGGAGCACATTATATGCCACATGCTTTGTTAATAGGGAGCTTTTCAGACACTGTGTGAAAAGCTTTTTGTTGTGTTTGTTTTTTTCCTCCTCTGCCTTTTGTGTTGAAGCAGGTTGTGGTTCCTGCTGTGCTGTTGGAGTCTATAAAATGCCCATGTCCAACACATGTCTCTGGATTTGGTGAATGCCAGACAAGAATATCTCTAAGAACCTTAAATCCCAAGCAAAATCTTCCCAGTGCTGATAAAGCCTGGAATGCACACAATCAGAACACAGGCTCCCACTGCAGAGAGAAAAACAAAAGGCTCCCATACAAACAACCTCAGGTAGACACACTGTCTGTCACTGTGTTACCTCATACAATGGCTCAGCTGAGAAAAACTGCACGTCCAGGAAATGTACAGTGAAAGCCAAACAGTCAACTGGAAACTAAATTCTTTCAGAGAAAGCATGGCTCCAGCTTTTGTAAGGCAACAAACAAGGATGGAATAAAATAAGAAGCACCAGTCATTTAGAAAGGCATTTCCTGCAGGTCTGTGCAACCCCTGACCATGGCACTGCAGGGAACATGTCCCTTTGTGTCCCTCTGGGAGCTGCCACAGCTGGGTCAGGTCACCCAGAGAGAGAGGGAGCTCTTCAGGTGCCCTGTGCCCAGCTCTCCACCCACCCAAGCAAGCAGCTGCCACTGCCCTCCATCCCCACGCAGCTGGCAGGGGGCAGAGAGTGATGCCTTGAGGACACCCCCAAAAACAGGGGAGTTGGACACCCCTACAACCCTCATGTCTTCATAAAAGGTCATTTTTAAATCCAGCCCAGCTTGTCTGAAAGGGATTTGTTCTCACACCAAGTGTCCACATCCCTGTGGAACAAGCAGCTCCCAAGGAGGGCAGGGAGCACCAGGCTGGATGTGCCCTCAGCAGCTGCTTCAGGCTGGATGGCATGGCCAGAGCTGCACAGCCCTGCTTGTGCTGGCCTGGGGATGAGCCAAGGGCTCCTCCTTTCCCAATCAGCTAAAAATACATCCCAAACCTCGTTATTGGCATCCTGCTGTCAGCAGGACCTGGTAATGCTGACAGAGCTGATTTTGCTCCCCTGTCTCTGGCAATCCCTGCTCTTTCCTGCCTCAAGGGGAGTGCATCTAGTCATGACAGAAAGTTGTGGCTCTTCTCTATGCTCAGGGCAGAGCCAACACACAGACCAGAGTCCAGGAGAGAGCAGCTACCACAGAAAGAGCCATATCTTTGCTCCCACCTCTTGCAGATGAGGATCAGGAAGTTAAAGGGATTTGCTGAACTGCAGTGACTTTAAAAGGTTCATACCAACTTCAAGGAGCTGAGGATCAAATACTGGTCGTACTGTCAGGACCAGCTGCTCTGTCATGTATCAGAGGTGAAGTACAAATGCTGGCTTCTTTGCAACTGTACTTTGGAGTAGCACACTTGAAATGTGAGGTGACTAACTGCTGTCTCCTGCTGATGAGTTAGCGTCACATCCTGGCAGGGTGCTGTGGGGTGCTTGCACTAATGTTTGTGCACCCCTTTGAAGCTGGGAACAGCTGCCTACGTGACAAAGTATTTTATTAAATTATCCAGCTTGCCAGAGGACAGGAAAGCAGGAGAGATCCAACAGCACCTTGCTCATGCATCAGGGTGACCAAAATAAACCTGCACCTCCACTTAATGCACATTAAAGTGCCAGGCAGGGCTCATCCACCCATGATCCCCAGGCAAGCACCAAGGGAGCACAAGGGGACGGAGCTGCCATTGCTCATGACAGCACTGCAAGAGCAGGGGGGAGTGGAGAGGTGGATGGACAGAGGCCAAATGTCACAGGGAGAACACAGGGGATGCAGGATGAGCTACCTGCCTGGGGATAGCTGGAGGAAGGACACATATTTGAATGCATCAAGCCTGACAAGGGAAAACATTGCAATTCCCAAGCTGCAGCAGGCGCCTGGGAGTCCTGTTGGCTGGGCCCTCCTGTCTGAGCATGAGGCATTGTCTTGTCTGGCACCAGGCTTGCTATGAGAGAGACACTTGCATAGCAAAGTTTGGGCTTTAACTCTCTTCCTCCTGCTGAGTACTTGAATCTGCTTCTCTCTGCTCCAAGTTCCCATCACCTTCTGCATGGCAGAAGAAAGCCTCCCTCCCCTGCTTTATTTTGTTCTGTCTGCAAACAATGCAACAAGCTCCATGGGGAAGCAGCACAAAGGAAGAGAAAGCTAGAATGAGAACAGTTCTGTCCCCAAGGCCCCTTTCCTACAGCTACAGATCAGAAAATAAAATCTGTGTTCTGTGGCACTGGTAGAAACAGTCAGGTGGAAAAGCTCATGCACACATGTACACATACACAGATGTGTGGGAAGACTGCAGGCATCCGAGAGTGCAAACTAACAGCCATGTGCTCAGGGAGGGCCACAAAGAAAGATCAGATGTGTAGCCTGAATGGAGAGGGCAGCCACGTGCTGAGGTGAGCAGAGATACTTCGAGCACATGTCCAGCAGACAGCACTGACTAGGGGAAGAGGGGCAAGACTCTAGCTCCTGACATGCCAAGGCTCAATTCTTTCTCATTCACCCTAAAGACAACTTTCAGCATCCAGCTCTGTGAGACAGTACTCTCTGCTAGCTTCCAGGTATCTGCAGATGGCAGGTTTCCATGTATCAGCTCTTCTCTGAGCTTTCTAAACATTTCAGTCTTCATATCAGAAGATCTGACAATACTCCTCACTCCACCTTGAACCAGTGCATTCCCCATGGCTGCCCAGTGCTGGAGCACCCCAAGAAGCTACAGGGGGCATCATCAAATGGAATCAGCACTGTAATCGAGTCCTCCCTGGCCATGTCCTCCTCCACCCCACATCCCCTGCTGTGTCCCAGTTTATTGCTGCCTGGAACCGGCTCCCTGCAGAGCTTTCAAATGCAAAGCCACTGCTGCTCGTTTGAAGTGAGGGGCTGTGCACAGGGTCCCTGCAGCCCTGCCTCACCTGGCACGGGAACACACGCTTCAAGGAAATTTTCCACACATTGAGGATGTTTTCTGAATATCAGCTTTCCAACCCAACTGCTCATGACTCAGGCCAGTTCGCAGAGCCAGAAGGCCGCTTTGTGCCTTAGGTAATAACAATTTAACAAGGTAACAATCTCTTTAGCCGCAAATTAAATGGAAATAGGAAATGTCCTGTGCAGATAAGCTGCTGCTTGGATTATGTCCCCTGCCCAAATATAAACTCCTCTGATCCCTGTGCACACACGCACACACACAGCCAAGCTGCAGCTCCACACCTCCCAAGCCTCACCTCATTTGCCGTCTTTCATCACTGCTCTCTGCCATTTCTGGTCACTTGTCTGGCCCGTGTCAGGTACTACTGCAGAGGCCTTGCTGTCAGCAGCAAGGACATGCAGCATCACCCAACCACCTTCCCTGACACTCCCTTGCCACTCACAAGCCCATCACTTGCCAGTGACGTGTCCGTCACCTGTGAGACGGCTGCTCTTGCCTGCTGCTTGTGCACAGGCTGTCACTCACCTGCCAGCTGCCTGCCCCACAGGTTATACTCATGCACTTGGCCACACATGCAGCACTTGTCACCTTCACTACCCCCCTCCTCTGCCATCACCTCCCCTCTGCTATGAGCCACCCCAGGCCACGTGTTCCTTGCAGGTGACCCCAGACTCCGTTCACAGGAGACAATGCAAGCTTTAAGCAGCTGCTTTACCGGACAGGATGGTTTGCTGTGTCTGGATCAAGGGCAGTGACCACCCCCACGACAGAGCCAACATGTGCGTCCTCCTGGACCTCCATCAAGTTGGAGGGGGGCTGGAACTCAGGGGGCTCATCGACGTCCAGCACTGAGACCCTCACAATGGTCTGGTCCCGGAAGGTGCCCAGGTCCACAAATCGTGGGTCCACAAACTTGTTGAGGGCCTCCACCACGACAGTGTGCACTTTCTTCGACTCGTAGTCGAGAGGCTGAGACAACAGGAGAAGGTTAGCCATAGCCAGCCTGAGGACTCCCCCACTCCCCTTCCTTCACCAGAGACACTGGGGCAGCACCTCCATGGGTGCTGCTCTGCCTTCCTGCTAGCAGTGCCCACACCAAGGTGCTGGAGAAAGAGGAAGTCTCCAGCCCACTCCCCTCAAGGCCCCCAACAGGGCTTCCAGGCTGCAGGGGGCCGGGATTCTCTGGGAAGAGAACAGGCTGTGTGCTGGAAGCGAGTGGGTTTTGATCATTAATCTCCCTGCTGTTATTTTTACAGGGGAGGCAAGCTGAATGCAGTGGCCTTGGTGAACAACCATTCTTTCTTGCCTGCATCAAGTGTTTGCTTGATTGTTTTTCCCACCAAAAGCAGATATGGTCAAAGAGCTGCTGGTCATATATAGGAATTAGGTGGGCATATTTCTCCCCTAACAGATGCTATCAGTAACAGCTGTAAGCACCCATCCCTGCAGCCCCTGGCACTGTAGCTCCTTCGCAGCCTGCCCTCCCAGACACAGGTCTGCATTTTGCCATCCAGGCAGAACAGAGCCAGGCCCCTCCCTGCACCTGTAGGCACAAAAATGCAACTGCTACTGCTAGAGCAGCACTCAGAGGAGCATTTATTTCAACTCAAGCACAGCAGCAGAGTCCCCAAAGGAATGGGCTCTCTTGCTAGAGATTCGTGCCTGCCCAACCCAATCAGCTTTACTCCTCTCTCACCTTCTGTACCGTGATGACAGCCTCTTGGGTATTGCTGTCCGTGGTGACTTTGAACATCTCCACCCCTTCCTCATCCTTCACCTGATATGTCATGTCTGTGTTCTCCCCAACGTCAGAGTCTTCTGCCTTCACCCTCCCGATGGCAGTGCCCACAGGGGCAGTTTCAACAACGCTGAACTGATACATCTCTGGAGGAGAAAAAGGTACTAGGGTCACTGCTTCTGCCCTTGAACTCCCCCCAGCCTGCTATGCCCTTTGCATACCTCCCTAGGGGCACCCTTGGAGCATGAGGGCTGCCAGTGTCTGCAGTCCAGGATGCCCTAACAGGAGAAACACACACCTCAGCCAAAAACAAGGGATGTGGGAACATAAGTGGGCAGCTCTGATGTTTCAAGGTGCCAGGTGAAATAAGGCCTGATTTTACAGAATCAGAATAGTCATGGTTGGAAAGGAAGTCTGAGGTCACCAAGTCCAACCATCACAACAAACAAACAACCCCAAAACCACAAGAGAACACACCACACAACACACCACCCAAAAAGAACCCCCACACAACAAAACCCCAAACAAACACACACCAGACACACTCCACCAAATAACACCCATAAAAATAACACTCTACCATCTTCACCACTAGAGCATGACCTGCATGGACACTGCCCTGCAATCAGCGTTCCTGGATTCTTTGCAAACTTCACCATTTCTAATTTCTAGGAGATGCAGCTAAAGATCTGAGCCTCCTCCAGCTGCAGGACCCAGCTCCCAGGAGACAGCAGCACAACTGCCCCCAGCACTGCCCAGAGAGGGGCCAGGAAAGGGCCAGCCCTGCTCTCCCCACCGCTCAGCCCTGCTCAGTGCCCGCACCAGGCTGCTGTGCAGGGCAGGAGTGCGTTCCCGCCGCCCCGGGCGCCGCGACGCAGGACTTACTCTGCGGGAAGCGCGGGGGGTTGTCATTGACATCGGTGACGACGATGGTGACGGTGGTGGATCCCGACAGGCCGCCCAGCTGCCCCGCCATGTCCGTGGCGCGGATCACCACCTCGTAGCGGTCCCGGGTCTCGCGGTCCTGGTCCGCCACGGCCGTGCGGATCACACCTGGAATGGCAGCACCCGCGGGGACACGGGTCAGGCTGGAAGGGGCCAATGGAGACAACCTCATCCAGCCCCAGCTCCAGACAGGATCAGCATGCCCGGAGGGCCCCCGGGTTGGTCTGGAGAATGGGGGAGGGGAGGTGGTCAGTGCATTTAAAAAGGTCTGTGGGCACAAACCCCCTTAAGTGCTCCTCAGGTAAAGGAGACCAGAGATTATATATTTGCTCTGTGTCAGGGGCTGAGAATGCACAGGAGACCTTAAACTTAACTAAAGGTATGGTGTGTTAGTACTTCTTATGAAGTATCTATTTTTTTAAATAAATGTTTATAGATCTTCAGTAGCCTCTGAGCTTGGGAAAGTGACCAGAACTAAAATGTAAAGGCACGTAAAACATGAAACAAAGAATAGTAAAACACAGCAAACACTGTGAATGGCAAAAGTCACTTCTTACCTTACCCAGGAGTGTTTAATTTACATGGAAACAAAGTAGAGAAGTATTCTGAAAGAAAGAAATTACTCCTGCCCAGAGGTGGCACCAGGGGCACACGTCAGTACAGACACAAGGGGTTCCCAGTTCCACCACACCAGCAATACCCCAGGACAGCAAGGAATCAACTCAGAATCCCCTCCAGCTCAGTTTCTTAACATCCCCACAGATTTAGACATTGTCTAACTGCTTTCCTGTTCCAGGCTTTTCTGTCCAACTATTAGCTTTGCCATCTCCTAGTGTGAACTGCAAAACCCACCTTTGCTGTTTCCCCAGTAATTCTGCCTGGTGTTGGAGAAGATGTTGGAGGGGGGTTGCCTGGCTGGGCAGAGTGGGTCCGACCTGGAGGAACAGGAAGCTCCTCCCTTGCCAATCGAACAGCAGAGACCCAGCCAGTTGCTCTCAGCCACTTGCCAGACCTGGTCTGACTCCCTCATTCATCCTGGGGCTGGTCAGAGGAAGCCATTTGACCAGGAGTCCCATACCACCTCATCAAAGTGGCTTAGTAAGCACTGGACAAGGGAGGGATGGATGCACATCCTGGGGCTGTGAGCAGGCAGGACTGGCCTTGCACCAGCACCTCCCCAGTCCTGCACAGGACTGGTATCAGCCAGTTGTACTTACAGGCTCTCCTGCAACTCCACTATGAATACAAACCCCTTATTTCTGGGCAAGCACTGTCTCATTGAAATTTAAGCAATTCTGTTAATTAACGGGGTCTGAAGCATTTTATAATGAAAATGATTCATGTCAGCACAATAGTGATGAATTGGGATGAGAGGGAAAAAGCTCATGCATTCAACAAGGCTGTAATGACTTAACTGAGCTGCTCGTAATTATATAGCTCATAATACACCATGCAAGATGGGAGGAAAGTGCTCAGGAGCTTCCCAGAACACATCCAAGGTCACCCATCCCAGGAGTGAGCAAGTCCAGGCCACTTGGCACATGCAGAACAGGGCAGAAAAACAGCCCCAGCAGCCTCCAATTCTCTTACTGACACGAGGCAGACAAAACCCTTGTCTTTGGCAGGAGTGCAGACTGAGCAAACACCACGTCCTGTTCTTTGTCCTGGAAAAATGTGGGCAGATGCAGATGGACTGCCCCATACCCCAGGAGCCCCAGCAGGATTGTCACTGAAAAAGTTGTTCCTCCTGAAGCTGCATGGGCCACACCAGACTACCACCCCAAGTGTCAAGCTGGTTGTGTCTTTTAGGGTGAGGTATTGCAGGGTCTCCAAGCATAATCCACACCAATTGCTTGGACATGGCACTAGGGGTGCTGCCATAAACACCCACCAGCAGGAAACATGCATGGTCCCATCTCCCAGAGCCAGCATAGCCTGTGTCCTCTGGAAACCTGAGGCCCAGAGAACTCTGGAAACACAGCAACCAGTGATGGTGGCAGACCTGTTCTCAGGGCACAGAGACAGAAGAGGCAGGGACCTCCACTGCTGTACACAGAACATGGAAAACTCCTATCATCTCCCAAGATTCACATTCTTTCCAGCCAGAAAAACTTCCAAACTTCATCCTTTCCAGACACTGCCAACAAAGCAAGAACAACCTCCAGCTCAGACTCATCTCCCTAGGTCTTGTCAACATCTGTTACAGTTAAATAATACAGGCACATGGTGGCATACCCTCTGGTACAAGGCACATGTGGCTTTCCAGCATGATCCAGATTAATCAGTATAATTACTAGGCACGGGGACACTCACAGCATCACATAAATACCATCAAATCTGCTCAACAGCAGACACTCTGGGTGATAAAAACAAAGCAGGACAAAGCACTCAACAGGTAACTGCCTTCTAGGAATCCCATCGCTATGGGCTTTGCTCTGCTCTCCAATACTTCTAGCTCAGACGTCCATGAAGACCCTCGGACAGGGCACCTTCAGCTGAGGGCAGTCAGCAGCAACATACTCCCTGCCACAAAGTGCAAAGCCAGAACAGCGTGGGGTAATGTACACAGGCAAACCCTCAGGAGGTCCCTGGTCCAACTACAACTCAAAGCAATCATCAAAGGCAGATGAAACTACTCAGAGCCACATCTACTCAGGTTTTGAGTATCTCCAAGGATGGAAATGCCACCTTCATGGTGACAAGTTTTCTTTTCCTAGTATTTGTGTCTTTTCACTGTACATAGAATGGTGAAGGTTGGAAGAGATCTTAAAGATTATCAGGTTCCAACCCCCCTGCCATGAGCACGGACACCTCCCACCAGACCAGGCTGCACAAGCCTCATCTAACCTGGCCTTCAACACCTCCAGGGAGGGAGCAGCCACAACGTCCTTGGGCAACCTATTCGAGTGCCTTACTACCCTCATGGGGAAGAATTTCCTCCTGATGTCTAACCTCAATCTCCCATCTTTCAGTTTAAAACCATTATCCCTTGTCCTGTCACTGCCCTCTCTGGTGAAAAGCCCCTCCCCACCTTTCCTGGAGCCCCTTCAGGCACTGGAAGGTGCTCTAAGGCCTCCCTGGAGCCTCCTCTTCTCCAGGCTGAACACCTCAACTCTCCCAGTCTGCCTCCATAGTAGATAGACTCCAACCCTTGCTAATCTTTGTGGGCCTTCTCTGGACCCTCTCCAGCAGCTTCCTGTCCTTTCCGTGCTCCTCTGCAGACTCTCATCACCCATGCTCAAAGCCCATTGTCCCTGAGAACAGCTCTGGTGAATAAGGTTCTGGGATGGGGCACAGACCTGCACACAAACATGCACATACTGATATTTCTATTTCCAGGCACTGAGGATCATTTCTAACAAAGTGGTGAGAGCAGCAGAAAAACACATCCTGCCTCCTGCTGCTGCATCACACAGATCCAACCCTTCATCAGCCCAAGTCAGCACACAGCATATTCCCAGCAACCCCTCTCCCAGCCTACTCTTACTACCCTGGGACAGGGGCTGAGGTCAGTTTCAAGCAGGGCCAGGCTGACAGGTAAGGATGAAACAACTCATGACTGCACAAAAATAACCAGTTTCATCCCAGCAGGTCAGTACTTCTTGTCCTGCTCTCCCTGGCACAAATACCTCTAAGCCCTCATGGGCTAAGTCTCCAAATCAGGAGACAGGCTCTAGAACTCCGGAGCTGTTTTAAGTACTCATAAATGCCAGACTGCATTTCAATTAGCCTTCTGAGTCCTTCTGCCTTTTCCTTCCCTGCATGCAGCAGAATGACAGATTTTAAGAACAACCTCTTCCTTTCAGTAAAAAGCAAGATTCTCACGCACTCTCCCAAACTGACACTCTGGGCTTTTAGGAAAGCACCAAATATCACGAGGCCTTGAACACTGCCTGCTGTGATTGCTCTGCACCAGTCAATATTCCTGCAAAGGGATGAACAAGACTGCTGGAACCAAAGGTGCCGGGTTGTGCTCCCCTCTAAGGGGTGTTGAGTATTTCCAGTTTTCCCCCGAGGCTGTGGGCAGGGACTGCAGGCAGCAGAGTCTCCAGGCATGCTGGCCAGAGATTGGAAAGCACCTAGCAGAGAACACAGGGACAGACACCAGCAGGTAGGCACAGCTGCCAGCTAAAGAAAAGCTTTGCCCCTATAAAGGTGAATAATCTGCAGAGCTACGGAGAGCACAGGATGATTTAAAACAACATGAAAATTTGGCCTGCAAATGAAAATAATGATGTTTCCTCTCATATGAATGCACTGGGAGTCACATCCTCTCTGGGCCCATCTCAGCATCTGAAAAGTGTAAGTTAGATGATCTTTGTGAGGACAGGGGCCAGAGCTAGAACAGGAACTAGAACTGATCCTTGTGCCCAGGGTCCTGCTCTCAGCCCCCACAGCCACACGGCAGCCTTTGCTGGACAGAGGGGCTCTCTGCAGGGCCAGAACACTCACCCAGAGCCAGCACCCACCAGCAGTGGCAGAAGTGGCTGTTTCCCAGCATAAGCAGCAAAGCAGAGAGTGGTGTTGAGTGCTGTAAAAGCAGAGCCTCCTCCAGCAGCAACGGGGCAGCCACGGCACATGCAGCCCACCTGGTACAAGGGCAGAGATCAGCTGCGCCCGGTCTGCAAACCCAGAACGAACGAGGACGGCAGCACAAAGCCTAATTATGGCTGATGCCTGCAGGCTTTTACAAGAAGCCTAGGGGATATTCTTGTAGTTGGCACAGAAAATCATGCCTCCAAAGTCTGTGCATACAAAGCTCCCCACTTGTACACCAAAAGAGCCAGTCTAGACCTTCAACACATGCAGAGCAGGATCTGAGACCAAATTTGGGGCACACAACCCAAACCCACAGGCAATTTCAGCATCTGAAATTTACTTCTCAAAGCACAAGAGAAAGAAAAGCTCACATGCACCAGCTGTGCTGCTCCCTCACCATCATTCGACACTGTGGAAGCCAGAATTGCTCTCCACAGCTTTGCAGATGCCAGTGAATGTCACGTTGCAGCTCCCACCACTCCAGTGGGACCATTTAGTTGCTCGTCCTCCTCCAAAAAGACATCTGAGACACTATGGGAATTCAGGGATTATTGATTGGTAGGACTTGGCATAGCATGGCATCCAGACAGTTTGGGTCTGCTTTGAAAGGTCCGTTGAATCTGAAATCCCAGCTGAGTACTACAGCTAGTAACACTAAAGAACAGGAGACAAACTAAGCAACTTACACACAGCCTGTACCCTGTACTCAGGTGTGCAAACCACACTTCTACATACAACACTGATACTATGGGAGACAGACAGTGGAAAAAGAGCTGTTTGTAAAGGCAAGGAAGGAAAAGACAACCTATGCTAGAAGGAGGCATGGGCTCAGGGGGGATGTGCAAGGAAGCATGTGTATGATGGACCTGTGCAAAAAGGCAGAGAGGAAGGGGGAAATAAATTATTCTTCATTACCATATATTATAAGAAATGTAACATGCCAGATTTTTATGGTTCTTTTTATGGCCATTAATAACAATGGTGGCTCTAAGAGTCATGCTGCTGGTGTGGATAATTAAATCTTATGCTCAGGGCAGAAGCCAGGCCAGGTTTCCCATGTAGAGCACTAAAAACCTATTCAAGTGCAGAGTGGGAGTAGGATGGGATTTGCCTGGGTGGATATACTGGCTCCTGGCCAGTACCAAAGAGACACAATGAATAAACATCCCCCCACAAATGCTGCCAGCCCTGTACCTGCCACCCCAGCAGCATGTCCATGCAGGCCAGCATTGACCAAGGGCCACATGTCCCACAGGCACGAGGCTGCAGCCAAGGGTGCCAAAGGCTACTGCCAGCTCAGACAGCACCAAAGAGCCAGCCTAGGGCCCACTGTAGCCATCAGATGTTCTGAAAACAGACATGCTCAAGAGGGGCTGAGGACTCTTCTGCAGACTGTCAGCAGTTTTGCTTTTATGAATCACGAGCAGGCAGAATAGTAAATCAACCCCCACAGTGTATGAAACAACCAGCTTGAGAATTAACACACAAAAAGTCAAGGAATCAAGAAGCTTGGATTCCCAGAGTGACATTAATTCTCACCACAGTCCCACAAGACACATTTTAGTTTATGCCTTAATACAGAGCATTAATGTTGTTGCAGGAAGCTGAGCCTCTGCACGTTCTGGCTTGTGCATTTTGCTCCCAGTAGTTCCTTGTCATTCTAGCAGCCAGGCTTCCACTCACACAAAGCTATTTCAGACTAACAGGATCTCACATGCACCTGAATTTTCAGTTTTTAGTCCATTGTTCATCCATCTACCCCCTCCCCCCTCCAGTAAAACAAACCAAAGCTGGGAGAGAAACCAACCTGAGTGCAGCAGCTCCTGGGCCAGAAGGATGTGCAGCCCCAAGATTGTTCTTGCACACCCTCCCCACCACACCAGCCTCTGTCTGGGCAATGGCACCTCCCATTGCACACCTCAGCCCTGCTGTCAGGTGTGAATAAGAACTACTCAAATTTGAGCTTTCCTCCAAGGGCAGCCAGGGCTGGGGGCACAGCCAGAGCAGGGACTGGCTTGGCCATGCACACATGGGCTTGTGCAGGTGCACAGGCTTAAGCACACACACCTTCCTTACAAACTCTTTATGCCTGAGTCCCCAAATTTCACTCTGACGTATAAAAAAAGCCTTAGAAAATGCCTATTAGCACAGACACGGATCAGCCTGACAGAGACTTGGCACTGCAGTCCAGGGGTTGATCTCAGCATGTGTTCCTGCAGTGCAGCAAGAGGGTGGGGGGCACTTTGCTGTCCAGCTTTCCAACAAGAGCTGCAGATATCCAGCCTGCTTGTCCTTTGACAATTTTTCATTACACTGTGGGTACTTTACTGCATGCTTTGTGCCTTAAATATCTCTTATTAGCATTTGAGTGTCTTCTCTCCTTAGAAAGCTTGCAAGGCTCTCATTAAGGGTAATGAGAGTCACACTCCTGGGAGGCAAGGAGAATATATACCCCAACATCCCCTGGTTATGGTCTACTCTAACCAGTATGTCAGAGCATCATCTGCTAGGGATTTATCACAGAGGCATTTTATAACGGGGTCTATTGTAAGTTATTAAGGAATGGAGAAGCGTCTACTGTTCTTTCATTAAATATTAATAGAACATTTATAAACCAATCCCTAATTTGAAGTGTTACCTTTAATCAATGCCCTGGTGATAACAATGCAGCCTTTGATAAGGCCCCTCTGGTAGCACTTAAACCTTTCATGCTGGAATTTTACGTGCCTGGGGGTGCACTCGTGCCCTGGGCACAGCCCACAGGAGCCCAGGCTCTGGGCTGGCAGGGCTTGCTCCTCAGAGCTGCTGCTGCAGGCACTGCCCAGAGCCTGCAGGGACTCCAAGCTTCCCCCTGCAGCCAGTGGTGCCCACGGCCCCCAGTGGGGCCCAGGTACCCCCACACCAACAGCCAGCCCGGGGGGCAGCCCTGCCTGCCCCGCCGGGTGCTGCTCACCTGTTTTACTGTCCACAGTGAAGTGCTGCTCACCCTCCAGCACGCTGTAGACTACCCGGGCACTGCTCCCGTAGGTGGGGTCATCAGCATCAGAGGCCATCACCTGCATCACAGAGGTGCCTGCAACAGGATGGAGAGAGAAGTTAGGAAGGAGGTGAGGAGAGCAACACAAACCTTGGGGCCAGGGGCTGGTGGCATGGGAGAGCAGGGGCCAGCACTGATCACTTGGACACCCTGATGACAGCAAGAACAGTTGGGTGCAAACACTGCTCTTTCTTCCTCCAAAGGCCTGAGAGCCTGGACTCCAGACCCTGCTGCAAATGCCCTTTTGTCCTGCTGAGTGGCAGGAGGGACCAGACCTTGGGCCACCTCAGGACTGCTGTCTAGGCAGGACCTGTTCTCTGGGAGGATCACTGGTCTGAACAGCTCAGAGATTTCTCCCAGCAGACTTCTGCAAGACCATCTGGGAAGGAGCTGGACAAGGTATCACCACAGATGCCCTTTTCCCATCAGCCCCAAACAACAGTCACCTCCAGTCCATAGACAGACCTCCCAGCCAGGGCCTGGTCCACACTGCAGCACCACATCCTGCAGCAGACAGATCAGCAAAGGCATGACTGCCATGGGAGAGGAAAGGCTTTTTGCTTGCCCACAGCCAGACTCAGCACCAAGTCCTCATGCTCTACACGTAGCAGGGCAGGTGGACTATAAATTGGATAGAAGTCCATCAAACATCTGCAATTAAGTTATTGATTTTCAATGCTGCCTCATTAAACTGGGTGCTTCACTCCAACTGTCCCTGTGATAGCTTTAATTTGACATCATGTTCAATTTGACAAAAGAAGGACCTAGGACATGAGAATGGGGCCAGGAGCAAAGGGGCTAAGATCTACAGAGACAACAGAAGGCAAGAAGGAGGGAAAGCCTAATCCTACCTACAGACACCTCTGAGAAAGGAGACACTATGGTCAAAGACCTGTGAGGGCAGGCTGCCCAGTTCCACCTCTAGCACCAGACTCAGGCCAGGCACTGTCAGAAACCCTTCTGTTCTGCAGTGCTTCTGTCCATATACTGCAAAGACAATCTCACAAGCTGGTCTTGGCTAGACCCATGTCATGAATAACCCAGCACCAGGCTTAGTACTAGTTGTCAGCATTTGAATCTAAACCCATTACATTCCCCAGAGAAACAGAGGTCACACACATAGTCAGAAGCAACCTCTGTTCTCATGCCACAGAGGCCAGAAATGGAGCTGGAACCACCCAGGTGGAGGATGAGGAGCTCTAGTCCCCAGTGCCTTCTTCCTCTTCCCCCATCAGGAGATCACAACCCACAACTTGTAGACAAACCAGGCAGCCAGGATTTGGGCAGGAGATGGCAATGCTGTTGCGAGCAGCTGGGATGCACGTGCTCCTCCCAGTCCATTTTGCTTCTGATCTCCTGGAAAGGGTGTTTACTAAAGAAAATGAGCAGTTACCATGGTTGCTTTTCATTCTCCCTGGCCTTCTTCTTAGAGCTGCAGCTCTGCTGATAACATGAGAATCCCCCCCATCGGTCTTCAGCAACAAGCTAGTTTGAGCTGACTTATTTATGCTTTGCTGTCTCAGTAAAGTTATGGTGCATCCCTGCCAGGCACGTCCAGATCACACCACAGCAACACTCGCTCCCTGCCTTGCAAACAACAGCTTAAGAAATACTGTTGCTGCATTTCCTTGAAAGGGTCTGTCCTGCCTGTCCTCACACAACTCTCACCAGGAACGAGACAAAGCAGATCACCCTCACACCAGCACATCCCCTCGGCTACCTTGTCAAGTTCCCTTGGGAAGTTTCTGATCAGAAAGCTGAGAAGGAAGGGATCAGAGAACGGAAAGTATGTGACACTGGGGTCTCCAAGCACCCCCTTCTCAGCTGCAGCAGAGGAGTCTTTGCAAGGGTTGCTGGAGGTGCCAAAGTCTGAGAATCACAAAAAGCAGCACCTGCCCCTGGCAAAAGGTAGAGCTCCTGTGCCCAGCGTGGCAGCAACCAGCTGAGAGTCCCTGCCTAGTGTCAACATCAGCACCCACTCCTGCTCCTGCAACACCCATCACCAGAGGCAGAACACATTGAATTTGCACAAACATCCCACACTCCCAAGAACCACTTGCTTTTGCTTCAGCACCTCAGAGGAGAAGGGTCAGGAGATCCAAAACTCATCAACAGGTACATGAACCCATCAGATTTCCTCCACCACCCTTGCCCTGTATTCAGCAGAACCTGTGTCAGGGCTGAATGCAGACACAGCAAGTGCTCCCAGACAACACTCCACCCCAGCCATCTCAGTGCTGTCACCCCACAGGTGCCAGCCCAGTGATCACTAAAGCACGGATTAGCCACTAAAAGTTTGCATCAGGCTCATGATGCTTCTCCCCAGATGCATTCAGTCAATTGCCTAATTCACCCACTAACCCATCTCTATCACACCAACACCTGTGCTCCTGGTGTTCCAGTATTTTCCTGAACATCGCAAAACCGCGTCAGTGCCAGAGCCCAACGGGAAGGCAGGATCCACACCCACCCAGAGGAGGGTTTTGTCTCTCCATTTTCACCTGTGCCCTGGACAAGCCAGGCAGGTTGCTGCTCTCAGCCTTCCAGTGCCAGCCCTGGGTGCTGGAGCAACTGGGCTGCGAGCGGCAGGTCCAGGCTGCTGGGGCCCAGCTGGGAGCCCTGTGATGGCACCAGTGCTTTCCAGTCTGGTGCGCGGGGAAACAAAGCAGCATGAGCATTACAGCAAGGCACCTTCTGCTCAGAGGCAGGAGGATGATAGGCATACTGCCCTCAGGCTGAAGCCAGCAACCCCAAGGTGCCTCTGCCCTTCCCCAGCATCCCTTTAACAGATGAACAACAGGCAGGGAGGGAACAGTAACCCCACTTTGTGCCTTGATTTCTAGTCTGTGAAGATGCAATGCAGCCTGCTCAAGGTCACCTACAGGATATCAGGAATCTAGGAGTCCCACTTCCCATCACCCTCTTAACCCCCACTTATTTTTTTCACCCCTCCCTCCCCGTCTTTTAATCTGAAGAGCAAAGGTCTTAAATTCCAGTTTAACCTGATCCCCACCCCCCCTTCCCCTGAGACAAGCCTAGGAACATTGGCTCCCACTCCTGCTCTGGTATTAGTCCCTGCTCTCCATGCATAGCACTGCCCACAACAAGTACTTTTAGTTTTCTAGTACGTGCCTTAGTCAGAACAGATGCAATAAATAAAATCTAAGCATCCATCACGTACTGTATAACCCACTTCTCAGAACCGGGAATCCTGAAGTCTCTGGATATGAGATAATTAGACATGTAAAATGAGATAACAAAGAAAGGACCCCAGAGGAGTGCTTTGTCATGAAAAGCCCTGAACTGATGCCAGAGCACAGCACTCCCATCTCAGGGACCTGGTCGCTGTGGGGGCAGTGGGCAGCTGAGATCTTACAAACAATGCCATTTACTGCTTTTGCCTTGCCCCAACACACACTGTGGCTGATGCAGAAAAAAGCAGGCAGGACATCAGGGTAGAAAATAAATGAGAGGAGCTTAAAAATTACAGGAGCAGAATTGAGTTTCTTGCAATCTCAGGAACATCCAGACTTGGTAGAAAGCCAAATCCAATCCAGAGAAGATTCACTGCAGAGCCCTGAGGCCCTGCAGGTCAAGCCTGAGGGAGCTAACCTGACTGTGGCAGAATAGTTCAAATACACAAGTATGGAAACATCCTTTGGTGTGTCTGGCCAGAGAAACCTACTGCACAAGGCACACCAACCCCTGGCACCAAGCAGGCAAGTGTGGTGCCTTGGGGAGCAAACCCCATCATTACATAGAAAAGGCACATGCTGAATGGATGTAGAGAGGGTGCAGCAGGTGCTCAGATGTGCAGGGCTCAGAGCTCAGATCTTGTACCATGACCAGGAGTGCAGTGCTGGAAGGGAAGGGATAAGTATCCCCAAGGACCAACAGGCAGGGCAAGCCTCAGCTCCCAGCTGCCCCATCCACTTCCAGATGCACACGAGTGTTTTGAGCACTATTGAGGGGAAAAAAAACTCCAAAAAACAAAAAAATCAGAATCTGACTGACTACATGTTAAACAAAGTATTTTTCTCTGCTTCCAGCACAGAGATTAAACAATTTCTCCTCACAATAATCACTTCTGCATTCAGCCAGCTTTGTGCTAGAGTCAAGGCTTGACCCCAAGTTTGTCTGTACAGTCAAATAATCTCTAATCTGGACTTGATGCTACACAGAGGAGAGCAAAATGCACCAAGGGAGGACTGGTGTTTGATGAAAGGATGCACATTTCCCAGCATGTCCCTCACTCTGGGCTCTGTACACTCCCCAGACAGCCCAGAAGCAAGCTCTGCGTTGCAACACCCTCTCTGTGCAGACAGCAGAGCTGTCTTGAGGGAGGCACTGTGAGCTGGATTTGGACTCCTGCCTGTGTGTAGCAGACAGATGTTAAGCATAGCCCAGGGAGCTCAGGAAGGGAGCACAAAACAGCTAATTTTAGCATCTCTTGTTATAAGGTGAAGCTCCTGCAGTTCCCAAACAGTTGGCTGGGTCCCATCCTACCTTCTTCTGCAGCTCCACGTCCCTTACTCTGGTACTGGGCTCTGCTCAACTCAGACATTTTGGAGTGATCTGCACTGAGGTACTCATGCAGAAGCCCAGCCTCAGGTGCCAGCACAGAACAGCCTGGAAGCTCTTAGCCCACATTTTCTTCTTGAGGTTACAGGACAGCAGCAGGGCGGAAACAGGGTTTGCAGCCCAGGCCCCATCCTGCAGGCACTGGGGCAGTCAGTGACACCACTCCCAGGCAGCACCACCAGCCCCTACCCCTCTGCCAGTCCTGGGGAAGGACAAGGCCCTGCTCCCACTGGGGGCTGAGAAGGGAAGGCCCCTGCAGCTCCCACTGCCATCCCTGCCAGCCCCAGGTCCAACCCAAGCCATCTGCACCCCAGCCCCAGCACAGAGCAAGGGGCAGGTGTGTTGCAAAGCACTCCCAGCAACTCTGAGTTTGTGCAGTTCTCTCATTTGTTATTCCCTCTTAGACACTATGAAATCAAATGACTTTCCCTCCCAATTAGTACTGCTTCATTATGCAAATAATGTCCTTTGATCTGCTACTGCTGTCACAGAACGGATCTGACCATATTTGTTTTATTCCTCTTTATGCCCCAGGAAGGTACCCACCCCTGGGAGCTGGGACTAAGCTTTTGGCAGGGAACAGGGAGCTGTGGCTGGTAATTGCCCTGAGTGAGAGGAAAAAAAACACTCACTGGGGCAGCTCCAAGCACAAACCCCAGCAAGGTCTGGGAAGGCAAGGGAGGGAAAGGAGCAAGAAGGGGGTCACCCTATACTGTTCAGGCTGGGCAGCAGAGCTAAGGCTGTCAGAGGAGCAGAGACAGGGAAATAACAGCTCCCTGCAAACATGCTCCAAGCTGGAGTAGCCCTGCCCCTGGGGTGCCTTCATCCCAGCCCCTTTCCCAGCAGATAGCACAGTTGAACCAGAAATACTGATAATCTGGGAAAACATCTGCACCCAAATGGAGCTGAGACCAGGCAAGTTTGCCAGCTGGTCCCCAGGCTTCAACCTTGATCCTGATGCATTAATAGCCAATCCAAGCTCTTCCCAGGCTGCCCAGCCTTCCCAACTTGGCCAGCACAGAGGATCACCTCCATCCACATTCAGGAAGGCAGCAAGGCATGTTACACATTCTGTCTCATGGAAACACCCTCAGGTCTAGGAGGTCCAGCTCAGAAACAGCAAACATCTCTACCGATACCAACCAGAAAAAATGCCAGATGGTTAAGGAAACAACTTCTTCTCAGGCTTGCTTGTTCATGCTTTCATAGGATGTGCCCATCCCATCCTTTGTGCTACCTGTTCCTGGGCATAGTACTGGTAAACCAAGGGAGAACTGGGAGGGAGCTGGGGACTTGCAGCAGCACATGGGTGCCACCCTCCAGCTCCATATTCACACTGCAGGGGACCATGTGGTAGCACAGCTTGAAGACACTGCATGAAGCTCTCCCTGCCCTGTTAGCTGGGCCATCTCCAGGGCAGGCTGCTGCAGGAGCCCTTCCACTCCCTGGGATGAACAGGTTACAGAAAACTCCGAGGTTGCCTCAGGCAGGCAGCCCTCAGCCTGGTAAGCAGAGCACGCTCTTGGCTCCATCTCCCCTCTCTGAGCATGCACAGCCCACGCTGTTCACAGCACTTCTCTTTACTTTTAACTTCTGAGTGTTTTAATTTGCAGGAATTGCCTCCTTTAATGTTGTGAAACCGTGTTTCTTTCTTCCTCTGATCTCCAGTTTCGCATAGAAACTGTCTCCTTTGATATGTCTTGTTCACATCAGTCTGATCAGGCAGCTCTATAATTGTTAGTGATTTTCAAAGAACTGGGTTCCTTGTCTAATACTCAGAGTTGAGAATTCCTTCCTTTTTAAATGTTGTTAAAGCAAAATAGATTAATTTAATTTCTTTCTTCCCTTTGGGAACAGGATGCCTCCTGCTTTGCTGCCCACATGCTGTCTTTCATTTCTACAGAAGCACATGGCTGTAGTTCAAGGGGTCAGTCTCTGACTCAGGAAAGGATTTGTGCAGGTAATTGGAAGAGGAAGGAGAGCTTGGGCTGACTTGGGAGAGCTTGCTCTCCACCCATCTCCACCCAGAAGCCCAGGCGGCAGCAGCAGCTCTGCTGGTGTGGGCAATTCCTGCACCTCTCTACCCACTGAGGTCCGAGCACCAGTCTCACAATACACTGCACATCAACACCAAGAGCCAGAGCTGTGTCCCAAGGCAGCAGAACCCTGAGCACCACCCCCTGCACCCTGCTTCCAGGATGGTCTTCATCAGTCAGACCCTTCTGCACAGCCACACAGGACCCGGCAGGCCCCCAACCTTCCAGCCCTGTCCCCCCAGCTGCTCTCGGAGCTTGCTGCCCTCCTGGCACTGTCACTATCCCTCTGCTGACAGTGCTGGGGACCTGCCTTATCTTTGATGTTACTCAGCCTCTGCAGAACTCTGGCTCCTACCTTGATGCAGCCTTTGGAGAGCAGTAATTTATAGCTCCCAGCCTGCACAGCCAGCTGCAAGCTCTCCCAGTCAACAGGGACAACAGCCAGCCCAGCAGGGACATGGACTTGGTGATACTGGGCAGTGCAGCCAGCCAGCCTCCCCCCCTGGGCTGGAGTTGTGCTCAGCAGCATGGGAACCCACCATTGGGCCAGCACAGGGAGGAAGGATAGAAATACTGCAGCTCATGCATCACCTCCCTGCATCCCTCCCAGCACTCAGGTGAGTGCAGAGCTCAGTGTCCCCCTCTGCCATCCCTAGGGGCAACACAGAGCTCACTGTCCCACTCTGTCTCTCCTGGGGGGGACAGATTCACAGCCTGGTGGCACATGTCCCAGCCCAGCCCTCAGCACTTCAGTGAGGCTGATGCCAGTGGACTTAAAAGACATCTGCTGGCAAGGGCATGGGCAGGACAACAGGGAGCTGGAGAAGCCTCGGTTCTGCCACAGGGAACATGAGTTCCCGTCTCAGCCACAAGCCAGGTGAGGGGCTGGGCAGTGCTGCACGGGGGTGTGCAAGGGGAGGGATGGCAGGGCAGTCACTGGGCTTTGGAGCAGCAAAGCAGCACACAGAGTATGGCCTGAGGGGCTGGGGCACAAGCAGGGAGCGAGAAACACCGCGCGGTCTCATCTGAGCCAGAGGTAGCCATGAGCCCCTCAGTGTGCAAGGGTTCAGAATCTCCCCCCCGTGTCTGGGAGAGAGAGGGTTGTGCAGAACCAGGGTAGTAACTGCACAGCAGGCAGCTGGCACAGCCAGGACCTGCCTCTGGGGCAGAGCTCAGGGCTGAGGCTGAGCGCTCAGCCACAGCCCAGCAATCAGCTCACAGGATTTATTCACTTGTTTTCCTTAAGCCATCTTATTTATTTTTCCCTTTTGCCTTGCTAGCTCTGGGCTCAGCTGGAATCCCTAGGATTTGCAGGCCGTTTTCCGGGGCACTGTGGGCTAAAGGTTTGACAGGAGAGATGCACAGGTTTCCCACCCCACCTGCTCCCACCCAGACCTACCGACGGGGGACAGCTCAGCCACGCTGCCGATGTAGGGCCCCTCCAGGAAGCGGGGCTCGCTGTCATTGATGTCCTGCACCTTGATGATGAACTCTGACTCTGGCTCCAGCAGCTGGTCCGTCTGCCGGTCACGGGCCTGAGCCCGCAGTGTGTAGAAGGTTTTCTGCTCCCGGTCCAGGCGCTCGGTGGCATGGATGTCACCTGTGATCTCATCAATAAGGAAGATGGTCCCTGCGCCCTCCCCAGAGATAGTGTACTTGATGGAGCCGTCCCCCTCGTCCGAGTCCGAGTGGATCTGCCAGGGAAAGAGGAAGAGGGTGGGAACAGGTGGGGCCCTGCTTGTGCACACAGCTAAGACCACACAGGTGTGGGCCCCTGGTGCAAAGTGTGTGATGCCCATCTGCTCCCTCCGCTACTGCTGCACTGGAGAGCAGCACAGGGCACCACCAAAGGATGCCTGTGCATGGAGGAAGGCCCAATAAACTGCAGCTTCAGTCCTGCCTATGCCATCACATGCTTGGCAGATCACAAATCCTGCCAGTACCCACCCACACCACAGACCAAGGGACAAACCCCACCACTACAGGGTTAGGGAAATGCTAGAAAAGGGAAGGACAACTTGACAGTGCTCCAGAAGAGGCTTCCCTGTGCAGGACTCTGGCAGTGTAGGGTCACCTCTCCCAAGATGAAAGCCAACTGCGGTGTAAGGCAGCTCAGCACCAGCATCCCAGCAGCCATCCCATCTTCCCAGCCAGCTGCCCAAATCCCACCCTTACCCTGCCCAGCTCCAGCCCCCTCCGCCTTCTGGGCAGTCGCTGCTGGCACTTCTCCCTGCCCAGGAGCTCACGCACCCTCTGCACACCAGCACTGGGCTGACAGGGCCCTGCAAGGGGGGCACAACCCCCACATCACACCCAGAGTCCCCAACCAAGCAAACCCTGCAGGAGAACATGGCAAACCAGGCTTGTGTTCAGGATGAAAAGCAGCCCCTGGGGAAGATGCTTTTGTAGCCAATCTCCACTTCATTTTCTAATTAAGAATACATTTGAAATTAGGAAAAGAAAGGGTAAACAGCAGCTCCCCATGGACCAGGAGCTGACTGGAATCCAGGCTAGACGTCCAGAGATAATTTTATTGGTGGCATTAAACTGAGTTATGAGGTTTTTACAATCCAGCCACTTATGAGAAATCTATTAACAGTAACTGGACAGGCAGAATGCATCTTGACAGAGAGCAGCATGGGCATTAATTGGGACAATCCATAACAGGACAGGCCCCCGGAAAGGTTTCATCAGCTGCTTTCATTTGCTTCCTACAATTTCTGCTTAGAATCAGCAAAGTTGTGTTCATGCCCCTCCACCCCTAAATGAAAGTCGTCCATTAATCAGCTAATGAAATATGAAAATGTTTATGGGCCATTCAATCTTCCAAACTGCAGTTCTATAATCCACCTTTCAGACATACAGCTCTACCAGCAAGAATTTATACCAGAGCTGCCTCTTTTTTATGGTGCCTTCATTATGTTTGTCTTGTTAGATACAGTTTATGTATTTATTTCATAAGTGAGGGGCCCATGCATTAGACAGTTCAATGCATTTTTACACAGTATTCTCATATCACCACCCAGGCTGAAACACCTCCCAGGGCTTGCCTGGGAAGGAGACCCTCACTCAGCTAGGGAGTGGGGCTAAGCCCAGCAGGGCTCTGGGGCAGGAGCATCCTGCCCCAGCCCTCCCTGCTAGAGAGCTTGCAGCCCCCTCCACTTTATAATCCTCTCCCTAATGTTCACTGATACTCCACTAGAGATCCAGCTTGTCAGAAAGAGGTGCACCTGGTCTGTACAGAAACCTGTATTTTTCTGCTGAACACCAGGCTTGTGATTAATAATTAGGCCAGAGATAAGCCACCCAGCACCTCTTCCCAGAACCACATGAGCTCTCAGCACATTCTATTTACATATTTCCTCATCGCTGACTGCTTGGATGAGACACCAGCATCCCTGCAAACTGGAACACTGGGAAGAAAAATGGAGCCTGGGCTCAGGGAGCCATAGAGATTGATTTACAAGGAAAGATTAAAAGAGCTAAATCTGTGCTGCTTGACTAAACAACAACTAATGGGGAGGGCTGGATAACAGACTAAAGACATCTGAGGGGAGATGCCCGGGCAGGTGCGGGGACTCTGCTGCCACTGGCATGGCTGGCGAGGGAAGCTGGGAGGCCCTGGCAGGACATGGAGCCCCAGGCCTGCTGTGCCTTCCCTCTGGGAGGCCCACTGCCCACTCGGCTCCTCTGGCCAAGGACATGAGTCCCTGCAGCCACCAGGGCCATCCCATGGGGTACACAAGGCTAGTCTGTTCAGTCTGCTGAACAGGGAACTAGTTCCCTTGTCCTGAAAGGCTACAACCAGGAATTTTGCAAAGCCATTAATTACTTACTAAGAATTAAATCAAATTAAATGTGAACAGAAGTGCACATTCCTTATGAAAAGCGATTAAACAGAAAGCAGGAATACAGAAATAAAGAACAACTGTGGGGCTGGAAAAGAAAGAAAATCACATAAAAACTAGCCTGTAACAAAGGCTCAGTCTGTTTGCTCCAACTCATAAAGCCCAAGTTCATCAATTTTCTTTAAATATTAGCAACTTAATTAAATCTGCTTTTTTCCCTTTAATCCTCTTCTCTATCTAAAATAGATCTGTCCACATGTTGAAGTTTGTAACTAGTGCTGACCCCATAATTCTATTTAAAAAAAACCCAAAGAAATCCACATCAAACTGACAGCAGCCTCAGGGGAAATTACAGTTCAGAAGAAGGATTAGCTTGAGAACCCAGATTTTATGGAAATGGTATTGGCCCTTTGAAAACCACACGTAGGTGTGCAAGAGGCCTCCATGGAGGACAGGCCCCCGCTGCAGCACCAGGTCCCCTGCAGGAAGGCTCTGGACCCAACAGCAGTGCCGAGAGGGCTGGCACACTGCCCTGGGAAACCAGGAGCCACCCCAGCCCTGCCAGGCACCCCAGCTTCTCCCAGCCCCGGGTTGCTTTCATCCCACAGGAGCAATACCTACAGGGAATGGCATTCCCTGCAGACTGGCTGTGTATTCTGAGCGGGACAGGTGATGTGGTGAGTAACGTGGAAAGGGGCTGTAAAATGGTTTAGTTGTACGTTCCTGGGTTCCTGTTGGAGATGGGGTGGTTGCTAGGCTACCTCTGGAGTTTGACAGGGCCTGATGCTCCGAGTCACTTCCCAAGGGAGCTGTGAATTAGCTGTAACTGCATTGAGCACCGTGGTGGAGGAGGGCAGCTTTCGAGTGCCTGCTGAAATGGACACAAATCACCACTGAAATCCCACCTGGCCCCTCGCCAAGAAGCCCATTTTCAAGACTACTCCAGACTTGTGACCAGACAGCAGAGGCCATCAGACAGCCCTGCTGCATGAGCTCTTGGGCATTTTCCTTCAGGAAGGGCCTGTGCCCCAACAGGGCAGCACTAGCTGGCCTGCAGCATGCTCCTTTGGTTCCAACAGCTAGCACTGCCTTCATCAGTATGTAAATAACACATGGGAGCCACAGGTCAGCTTCTCCACAGCTCCCAGAAAAGTATGAAGCCCAGCAACTCCAAGGCTTTGCCTCTCCTTCAGCCACTCCTTCAGCCTCAAGACACCAAGAGTGGAGGGAACAGAGGTCCATGTCTAGCCTCCACACACCACACTGTGCAGGCCAGCCTGAGATACATAAACCCCACAGCAACCTCGCTCTGTCCACAAACAAGCAAGATTTCCACACCACAACTACAGGACATCTCTGCCAGCCCCAGTCTGCAGAGATAATTAGGTAGGAAACAGCCACTGTAGCCTGCAGGTCCTACAGAGCAGAGTCTTTCCAAGACCCAGGGGCAGATACAGGGAAGGGCCACAAAAGAAAACCAAGCACGTTATCCCCCTGCTGAAAGGGCCACAGGACCAGAGAGGGACCATCTGCAGGGGTTGCACGTGCGGCAGCAACTGTGGGGCAGGAAGGCCCTTGGTGCTACAGCAGAACCTTGGCTCCCACGACATGGGAGGGACCAGCATGAGCAGATGCCCACATTGTCTGGTGTGCACATCCACTCCAGCCCAGCAGGTCCTCCCACAGAGGTGAGGCTGAGCCTTCCCCACTTTCCCCACCACACCCAGAGCTGCACTTCTTGCATCCACCCCAAACAACAGGAGAACCCAGCACACAACCAGAAGAACAGTGTGAATTTTGGTGTCCTCCTGCCCTTGAGACTCTGGGAGCACATTAACTTTACTACTGCCCAGCAGGGACCGACTGGGCTCGTGCCATCCCAGTCTGTAGACTCCTCCAAGCAGGCCCCACAAGCAGCCTTCATGCAGACCCTCTTCCCCCCAGGCCAGACACGGCCCCACCTTACCTTCCGTACATACAGTGGCTCCGTGCCCGTGTCCTCCTCCACCACAAAGAACTGGTGCCAGACCCAGCCACGCTTCCCTCTCCCGCCGGGCAGCAGGCCAGGGTCCCCCGGCTGCCCCGCGCCCGCGGTGTGCGCAGCCCGGGCCCCCAGCTCCTGCACCGCACAGAGCAGCAGCAGCGCGGCCAAGGAGAAGCCCTGCAGACCCTTTGCCATCGCCCTCCGGGAGGCTGCATGAACAGCAGCTTTTGGACAGGCACCCAGCATCCGGCAGGGAAGAGGAGCAGGTCCGCAGCAGCAGCAGGGCCTCAGCCGATCAAGAGCATCCCCAGCGCTGCCGCGTCCCGCAGCTCCGTCCCGCGCGCTCACACCTGTGCCCGCAGCCGTCCCAGCACAGAAGCTGCCAGCGCTGGTGCCTCACAGGCTGCTCCCGGGGCTCCGCACAAGAGCCCCGCAGCCGGTGCGGGGCAGGGGCGCCCACCGCCGTCATTCACAGGGAGAGGAGGGAAGCTTTTCCACGTGCAGTTTCAGAGGAGTTCACAGGATGAGCTGCTGTGGCTGAAGTCTGCCTGTCCGGCCGTGGCCCTGGACTACTGCCCGACAAGTGTGGCAGCACAGGTGCCTGTGCCACAGGTGCGGTTCAGAAGCCCATTTGTAACTCCCATCTTCAGGGGGGTGACCTCCCAGCTCCTGGTGAAGGGTCCTTGGCCCAGCTGATGCTGGTCGCTTCCATCCTCTGCTGGCTCACGCAGGGAGGTGCAGGGCAGCCGGCAGCATCCTCAGGAGCCTGGAAAAGGCCAAGATGTCAGTGCTGGTGTGAGAGCAGGGCTCCATGCTGCCCCCGCAGCCTTGGTCAGTATCTCCCACCCTGCCCTGCCACGGGCGCCCTACAGCAGAGCCCAGACCTGCAGGTCCTGCTCTAGACCCTGGCAGGGAGGACAGCACATTGAAGAACTCTCATCACTCTGGACATCTGCTCCAGCAGGACCCCCAGGAGCACAGAGCCCCACTGTCAAGGGCACCTGCTCACTAGGAGAAAAGCATCTGTTCAAGGACTTGCTCCTGGCTGACTTTAAAGCCAACAGTTTAAGAAAGGGCTCTGGAGTACACTTCAAGCCACCCACAAGGCACTAAGGATGAAGACATGAGACCTGTGGCCGAGGTCAGATTGCATTCAGTGAACACCTGAGGCAAACAGGCCTGATCAGGAGATGGGGATGCAGCATCCACCTCTCCCTGAACCAATACCCTGAGCTTCCACCAGAGCCCTGTGATCTGCCACAGCTAGAACTTGCTCACAGAACACGCATATCTTCACCAGTTCCCAGAATTTATCCTCCCTCATCTGTTATTCTAAATATGAGGGGGAAAGATGATGAATGGAAAGAGGGACAATCCTAGACTAGACAGCCATCTACTCCCCACAGAAGGGCAATTGCATGATTCTAAACAGTTCAGAGTAGGAGCAGCAGACATATTTTCCTGGCTCTTCCTAGCACTAACTGGGCTGTTTCACAAAAGTACCCAGTGAGCTGCACCACCAGTTCTGCATCTGCCTGCCTGGACAAACACTGTGACATGTGGAGCACGAGTGCCAGGTGTCGTTCTGCACTGCCTATTCATGGCACACGCAATTGCACAGCTCTATTCACACACAAGGGCTCACACTTGTTCTAGCCCATGACTAGCTAAGAGCACTCATTACACACTAGTGCTCTCTTTTGTCCATATTTGTGCATCGTTTGGATGTACACATGCTATATTCCATGCACATGTCAGCTGTCATTTGTGCAAGTCCCATGCACTTCATGCTCCAAGGAGCACAGGGTGTCCAGTGCATTTTTATGATAGCAATCATGGTACAGAAGCACTAACATTCCTCCCCACCCCTCTTCCCTGCCAGACTGTTTCTAATTAAGACTTATCCACCCCAGCCACATCAGGTTGTTGGCAATGACATGACTCTGGCAGTCAGGTCTCCTCACACAGAAGCCACTCCACTGCTCCCAAAGGGCTGGCTGCTCTCGCCAATCTGGTGAGAGCCCCTATCACCAGACATCAAAATATTCAACATCAGAGACGATACTTTGGGGACTGAGATGATTTGCAGATGGGTAATGGACTAAGTTGTTCCTTCCCACTCTTAGAAGTCTCACAAGGTAAAGTAACTGCAGCCTGCATTGATCCAAAACAGATACAAAGGTCCCACTCTGGAGCACCAGAGATGAGGCTGCCCCACCTGCAGCAGCCTTCAGAGCAGGGCACTAACAATGACAGCCACAGGACACGTACAAACCCCGTTTATCACACTTAGGTGGATATACAGAAGGTATATATAACAAAAGATAGTGCACCACTGCCACAAACAGCATCTCTTCAATTTCTCACATCTGGGAAATTTCTGGATATTTTGGAATAAGTTCCTCAGAGAGAGAGATACCAACAAACTGAACAGCATAAGCTGTGCCAGAGCTAGTGCTTCAGGCCAGCACTCAGGGCAAACAGTTAGTGCAGGAAGAGCATCTATCCAGCATCTCTGTCCTTGCCACTCTGCAGCACTTTTGCAGGCAATGCCTCCAGCTGTGTCCAAAGTTCGAGCACAAACAGGTTGTACCTGGTAAATGCAATAGATAACCTGACAAATAGTCCATTTGCACATGTTCTCAAGGACTACCATGTAAGCAGAGCCTTGGGAAGAGGCAGTCACCAGCTGCTGAAGTCTCCCACTCTGCCCACCCTGACACCCTCATGCCATCCAGGCTATTTCATGCTGGTTTATTAAGCCCTGCCAGAAGCCTGACAAGGCAGCAATGCCACACCAGAGTGCAGATCTGCAACCACTGAAGACCTCCTGAACACTGAGGAGGCTGAAAGCAGCCAGCCCAGTGGTGGCAATCCAGGCACTATGAGTAATGTCAGCATCCAAGGGCCTGGAGGCAGCAGGAGAGCAGCAGAGTGCCCAGGCTCCTGGCACACAGCTGGCAGGCAGCAGCACCATTGGCTCCGTGAGGGCAGTGGGAGCCACCCCCACCCCTCATTGAACCCTTTCACACTGGAGTGGCAGCTGCAAGCTGCTGATTTCCTCCCTGTCCCAACAACCCAAGCCCCATTCTGAAGCCAGCCTGACACACATGCAAGGGTGGCACTGCTGCCCGTTCAGAAACAGGCACTGTGCCCGTTTTTGCAGCCTTGCCAGGGCTACAGCATATAAGCCAAAGTAGCTAAATCCTAAATGGTAACAACAAACCAGCAAAAGCACAAATTTAAACACACACACTGAAACAAGGCAGATGAAGAAGGCAGGGTGAAGCTGCTGCAGCACGTGAGTGCAGCTCCAGCAGCTGCTCCAGCCAGTGGCCAACCTGGCCACAGGTCCCAAGGCAACTCACCCAGCCCTGCTGTCCCCCAACCCTGCTGTTCCCTACCAGAGCAGCTCCTGCCAGGGCGAGGGGAGCCCTGCTGGGCACCACAGACTGGGCTGCAGTTGCTGTGGGAACCACAACCTTGTCTTTAGAGCCTCAGCCATTATGCTGCTTTATACATTTAACAGATTTCTCATCCTACTGCTTCATCTGAACTACTGTGGCTTGATGGTGGTTGTCTCATGTCCAAAGTTGAGCTGTTGGCATGGGCAGCAGAGGAGTTGGCATCACCCCAACTGCCTTGGTGTGCACCTCTAAAACACTTGGGTCCCCAGCTGCCCTTGGCTCCCAGAAGCACTGACAGACATCTGTGGCACAGCTCACTGCCACTACCTGGACCCTTCCTCTCCACCCATAAATCCTCAGCCTGTTTGTCTGCTGCCACAGCTTCAGGCCACAGCTAGGGTCAGTGCCATGTCTTGGTGCACACACCTTCCTTTCTGGCTGTCTCATCACAGACCACTTCCAGAGGCAGCAGACCCAAGAGCCCCAGCTTGTGTCCTTGCAGCAGGATCCAAAGGGTGCAGAGCACCACAGAAAGTCCCATACACAGGAACCAAGACCAGCACAACATTTGTTTCCCGGTGCTGTTGAAGACCTTTCACCAACAGCTGGAAGTGCCACTTCTCTCTGCCACACGTGAGCAGCAGAACTGAACCAAGCGGCAGAGCAGCCGGCACCGGCGCAGCACAGCGAGCGGGCACGGGGCTCACGGGCTGTGCCAGCCTGGCTGTCCCACACACAACGAACACCAGGCTCTGGCACCACCCCAAGCCGATGCCTTCCCTGCTGCTGCTCCCCCCTTCCCAGCACCGCTCCCCTCTCCCCACGAGCTTGTGCATTTTGTCGGTGTGCGTTTGGCACAGCCGTACTGTACATCATGTTGACAGTAGAAATTACATCCTGAGCTTATGTTTTACACTGTGCTCTGTCAGAACTCACCACAGCCCAGTGATCAGGACAAATTGAATAGCATCCCGTCCGTGTCAATATTTATTTCATTTTACAAACGCAGGCTGATGCAAGGAAAAGCAGGCAGGGGGAGGGGGAGGACACAGGCAGGCAACTGCACACAAAGACAGCACTGCCCAATACATCACAGCCCTACCCCTCCGAACTGTACAGCCCTTCCACTCTCTGCCAGCACCTCCTGACCCCAATGTGCCTTCATCTGAGAACTCAGGGGTGAGCCCAAAGGTCTCTGCTATCTCCTGCACTCATCAGCAACAGCAGAGACCAGGGAGCTCAGCACAAGGTCCAAGACCACCCCCACACACCAGCTAGGTCAGCTGAGAGAACAGCTGAGGCCACATGCAAACACAACATCTCCAGGACCACCGAGTGCCAGTCTAAATTCTGTATCCACCAGGAGTCCACCTGCATCTCCCCTGAGAGCATGGACATTGTGACAGCCCAACCTCAGACAGACCTCACTGGGAGACAGGGTAGGAAAAAGCCTGCAACTACTTCAACAGAAATTCTTCTCTAGTACTGCCAACAATGCAGCAGTGTGTAACCTCTCCTGTTAAACAGAATTCAGACCTACTCAATTCTCCCCTTCCCAGGAAAAGGAACAGGCTGGCTGGATCACACTTCTAGTAACTGCTGTATGGAGGCAATACAAGCATGGCAAGGCCACTGCAAAGCTTTAAGATGGTTAATAATGTCCAGATGTAGGGCTAAGATATGAGCTCAGGCCCTCTGGAGCTCACTTTCTCCACTGGATATTGTAAGACAAGATGAGGCAAAGACATTTTTTTCTTTTACAAACTTTTCAAAATCTAGAGATGAGGA